TATAAGTACTGAATGTTCAAAAAAGAAAGTTAGGATACTAATTACAGATTTTGATCAAATTAGAGATAAATATGAAGAAGTTAACTTTGAAAAAATAGAAACTGATGAATAAATTCTTGCAGAAAAATTATATTCAGAAGAAATATCAAATGAAGACGAATAAAAATATAAAATAAAACTGGTTTCTAAAACTATTCTAAAACTTGAGGACATGTTTTGCAATAAAAACCTATTTCATTAAAGGCAAAATTGACTTTTTAACCAAAAAACCTAAAAACTCTAGGTTGACCGGCCAATTACGAAAACCTCCCAAAAACACTCTCGGTATATATAGCCCTCTTTATCCCTTTCTCTATCCTTGCATCGAGTTCTTCATCTCTCCTAATTCTTTTCAGTTTATTTGAGTTTCATGTGAAGTTTTGCACCTTTTTCTCAATTTTCTTTTGTATTTTATCTATAATAAGCGTTTCGTTGCTGTGTGATGATCCAGGTCTCAAGCCCCAGAAAACATGAACACGCATGTTCAATTCCTTATCTTTTTAGCGTATTATCTTTTAAAAATATATATATTTTTTGTGTGATTACATCATAATTGTAGATTTTTTAGATGGGGTTTTAATGATAATCAATGGCTTATGATGATAAATTAATAATCTTAGCGGATTTCAGTGAGATTTTATAAATCAATGATCTGATTGTTACACACACTGAAGCCATTTATTATATTCTTTTGTTTGTGCATAATTCGTGAGATGAAGAGATAAAGCACCAATTGATGTTTTTGGGCAGTAGATTAGGAAGACCTAATGAACTCTTCTCCGTGAGCCCAATTAATTAAAGACTTCTCCTTCGCAATTATAATCTACACATTTTCATCTTTTGTGGGAAGTCATGGATGGAAGCAACGGTTTTGCAGGAACTGAAATTAAAATTTGTGTGCAATAATCCGTTAATCTAAACATCCAATTTTTAACACATTGTCAGCCAAAGAACAAACTCAATTATGGCTAAGAGGCCAAACTTCGTTAAACTTCAAAATTGTCCAAATCTTGAACTCCAAAAAATGCTACATCTAAAATATTAATTTTAACGACACCTTCATCTTCCCAATCACATTCAATCCTATAAATCATACAAAATCAAATATATAGTACCAAAAAATAAAAAATAATAACTTATTAATTTCAATCAAATATCATATATGACGAACAAATTGAACATTAGACGTCCGAAGGCTGCAAGGATCCAACACATAAACTGTGATCTTAGAATTGAAAATCTCGCTTTTGCTTACCATTTTTACTTCTTCAAAATGTCTAAAAAGAATTTAAAAAAGGTTAAGATTCTTCCATGTTTAAAACTCTTATCCTCTATTTCTTCATCGCTAAATTCATATTTGAAGAATTTCTAAAGACAAAACTCAATAATTCATTTCGCTAACAAACAGATAAGCAGATAAACTAACATTAACACTTATTGAGTATAAGCAAGAAACTTACACTTGACAAAAAAAAAAACAAAAATGAAAA